CAGAGCTACAAACGAAGGCAGCAATATAAAAATGGCCACAAGATGGCAACTGACAATCGGGGTAAAAGTCAGAGAGATGGATCTGAAGGGTGGGGGTGCAGGATAGAGAGCATCCGCTCCCTCCAAGATCCCCAACTTTGTATTGTTCCCCTCCAAGCATTTCTTATCGGGCTCTGAGCAGTGGAAAGCGTTCAGCACGGCCCAAGGTGTTCACTGGGGACCTCCTGGCCAGTAAGGCGCGACTGGAGCTGCAGAAGGGACATTTGGAAATATGTTTTCAGGAAGCTGCGGGGAGGACAGACTCCCCACGTGACTTCCCAGCGGCTCAGGGAACGTGGAAACTCCCCGGGGCACGCAGGCGCGAGCTCCCAATTTCCGTTCAATGTGCACGAATCTGTGCGCCAGGCGCTAGTATATATTATAATGTGACTGATATGATGTGACATAATGTAGCATAAAAAATTGAATAAGATTTTCTAAAACTTCACAGTCAGGGTCTGACTCTTCTGAATCTCCTTCAAATCTGAGTCTCTGTCGCCACAGAGTCCCAGGTGATAGCACTTCTGTTTCGTCAGGAGCCTTGGAAATGCATGGCTTCTTAAAAAACAATCAAATAATGACAAGCCGTCAGCCCTGGGCTGATGGTTGTTCAGTTCTGCCGAGCCGCCTAATTGTGGCTTCTGTTGAGGGCTCACCACCGCCCCACAAACATCCCTCCCCTCTCTGGGGATTGAAAAAGCAAGTGTCTGTGTCTCTGAGATTTGCCTTCAAGCTCCTGACCCCCACTTTGCAAGGTCAGGGAGATTACCCACGCCTGTGACTGCCACCCGGCCTGCAGCGATTGTCAGATGCCATTGATTGTCAACACTTCTCACTTTCAAAGAAGTTAAGGTGGAGGAAAAAAAGCTCAGAATCAATGACAGACTGGAACATTTTATCAATCAAATGAGCTTTTACACTAACAACGAATTGGCTGCCAGATGGGTACTAGATTTATCAGGGTGACAGGACAATTGGGACTGTTCCACCCCAGGGTCGTGCCAGCCGCCCCTACCCAGTGTCTGTAGGGACAGTTGAGCTTGCCCTGGCCCTTCTCCACACCCACAACCCTCTGACAACGGGTGTCCAGGCCTGTGTCTCCTCCAGGTCCATCCTGACAGGACCCACCCCTTAGAGCCTACAGTCCCCCTCCCCCGGCACTGTCCCCCCTCTTAGTTAGGACCCCTGCCCTCCAACTCCAAGCTCCTGGCTGAACGGGGACTGACCACCTGGTGGTCTGTGTTGCAGCCTCCTCTCTCCTCCCTGCTGTGAGCTGAGCTCTCCCCAGTCATCCATCTAAATGCCTCTCAGCACTTGTCTTAAAGGCACCTGCCTCTCAAACTCAAATTGCTCCAAACAGCAGCACCATCCTTTTTACCGAGGCCCAGACCCCAAACCAGATGCCCAGACCCCCATCCTAGGACCCAGACCTCCTACCAAGGATCAGACCTCAATCTGGGGCCCAGACCTTCATGGCAGGACACCTATTTCCATGGCTGGACTTGGATCCCCATCTGGAACCTTCACCTACATCCGGGTACCTGACGTCAATCCTGTGGCCTGGACCTACTACTCAGCCCAGCTCTGCCTCAGCTGTCCTACATCTAGACCAGCAGTTGCCAACCAGTGGTCCGCGGACCTCTGGTGGTCCATGCGGTCTGAAAGGTTGGCGATGGCTGATCTAGACCACTCAGCCCAGCCCTGATCTGCCCTCAGCTGTCCGCCATCTCAAAGCCTCCGTGTCATCCCAGAGACACCCCCACATTCTGCTCCCCCTCCTCTTCCTCCATCCTGGCGAACAGCTCCTCTGTCCTGTGAGACACGTCGTGACACTCCCCTGGCATTGTGGCCTGTGTCTGTCTACCCTACAATCTGAACAGGGCCATCCCAGAGGCCTGCCACCCCCAGATGGCATTTATCGAGAGCCAGCGGGAAAGCAAGCCTGTCCCCAAGATTTCCCTAACCTTTCCAGCCGAGCCACTTCTTTCCGGGACTTGTCTGTGTGAGAATAAACACGTTATCTTCCCTGTCAGAGAACAGTTCAGACGGCCGCCATGTTGGCCGTGTAACTTGGCACCCGCCATGTTGGTCGCATGGCTTGCAGCTCCCCAGGGGCTGGCATCTTGAAACGGCAAAGGCCAACCCTTCCCTTTGAATTAGCCAATCGTGAAAGACTGTGCACTTGAGCTCCAATCACGAGTGAGGGGGAAGGCTGGGGAGGGTTGGGGGGCAGGAAGGAGGCGGGTAAGAGATCAACCAAAGGACTTGTATGCATGCATATAAGCATAACCAATGGACATAAGACACTGGGGGATAGGGAAGGCTAGGGGACTGTCAAGGGCTGGGGGGGAAAAGGACACATATGTAATACCCTTTGTAATACTTCGAGCAATTAAAAAAAAAACAGAGTGAGGGGCAGGTCGTGCATCAGGCTTAAAAAGCCAAGCAGACCATCTACTCAGAGTGCGCGTGCTCCCAGGCCGTGTGCTGCAAACCCTTCTCCGTAGAAGTAAGGATTCTTGCCTTGCTGCCTGGCTCCCGAGTATGATTTGGTTTTTCTAGGACCCCTGAGTTTGGGGGCTCGCCATATTTCTTACACCTGCACAGGCCCGCAGCATAGGGCGGTGGAGCAAAGAACTATGGGTGGCTTGCTCCTCGCCTTGGAGGGCCCAGGGTACTGGCCTGGCCGATGGGCTTCCCATCAGAGGGATATCTTCCAGGCCACGTCTCACCACCTTGAGGACCAGAGAGGCAGCACCGCCATCACCTCGTGGCCATGCTGAGAATCAGGTAGAGACGATCCATCCCCAAATCCCAGGCACGGCGATGAAACTGCTCACTTCCCACACCTGTTCCCATAACGGGCAACAGAGGAAATATGCTGGGTCCGAGCGGACTTCCCAAAGAAACCTGCACTGTTATATCACCAAGACGTTGGAAACCAAGACGCCGGAGACACTTGCCAACGTCCACCCTTGGGGAATAATACTGACTGATGTCCCCTGAAATGCGGCCTTTGTGTTTGACGCTCTGACCGTGGCTTTGCTCTGGGGGGGCTCGGTCTCAGTCAGTCATTGCCTAGACCAGCCTGGGCCGGCGTTCGAGGCTGGCCAGGGAGCCAAAGCACCAATGGTTTATCTGCCTCGAGCGGGGAACTTATGTGGAAGGTCAGGACAACGTTGCCTTTGATGATCTGATCCATGGAAACCCACCGGTACAGGCAGGGCTTTAAAAAGTGATTGTTTAAATGAAGTTGATCTTTTTATTGCAAAAATACATCACAACACGCTTTAAGGTTGAATTTCAGCTCAGTAACCACAAACATGATTCAAATGATTCATGGGGAAGTTAATGACCAACACTGTTGTCTTTTAAATAATCTAATAAAAAGCTCATTAGTGTTGGGGAAGATAGCAGTTGGGCGCACCCACACAGTGATGTGTTCATTTACTGTGATGAAACTAGTTGGATTCTGTCAGGCTCTGTTATTCTAAATCCAACACCAGTGGCATTCCCCCTAATCCCGGCTTCCCAGCTGGTTCTTTCACAACCTATAACCCGGCTCAGAAACACACCTGCAACGTGAGCCAGGCCCTGTCTCCCCCGGGTAGGTAGGCAGCCCGTTGCCCTTCCTCCTTGAGACGAAGCTCTGCTTCCTGGCTGAAGACAGCTGAGGGATCCTGGGAGTGTCCAGCAGGAAGCCTATGGGGCAGTGCAGGCCACAGGCAAGAGTGAGAGGGCAGGGGGCACACAGGAAGTCCCGGTCCCTGGTTCTCCTGATCATTAGTTATTTGACCACTGTGGCTCAGACCATAGCCTCTCGAAGGGAGGGCCGGTTCTGTCATCTACATGGAGCTGATGCAGCACCTGGCCGGCCACCAGACTGCTAGGAAACGCCAATGACATAAGATGCTCCCGCATAGGTGCCCAGGAGCCGGGGTGGGTGCTGTTTGTCTCACTGGGGCAGCACCCCATGTCAAGCCTCCTCTCCATGCAGACGTGCCCCAGAGCTGCCCCACACTGGCCCTGTTAGCTGTTTTGCACGACACTAATGTCCACGTCCACTGGATGCTGGGGCTGAACTGTACCGGCCCCTGCGGGTCTGTCTGAGACACCCTTCGTCCCTCATGAAACCAAACCAAGTTTCCGTGCACGTGTTTATTCCCGTCAGGGGCGGACACCTGGAGAAGCCATCAACAACTAAATGCTGTCGGTGATGAATTAACTTAACCTCAACAAAGTTGTAAAATGATGCACGGCCACATTACAAGCTAATTACATCAAAGGAGTCATGTTTGCAAAGAGGTAGAAATGTATGCACATCGCAACATAGGTATCTAGGAATGAACATAATGGATTGTCTTAAGTTAAACAAACCAATGCTGTTTCTCTCCAGTGGTTAAAACCATGAAACATTCTCGCTCACTTAATTGCTTTGCTACATTCTTAGCAATTGCACCCGCCTGCCCCTGAAGCAGCCTTCAATTCGAAGGTGCCCTGGAAGCCGAGCCCTCTCTCTGCAGGTGAGGAGGGAGGGGACCATCCACGTGGGCACCGTCTGTCCTGGAAGAGGACAGTTTGGTAAATGGGAAGCACCTCAAAGCAAAATGAAGTGACCTGAGAACAGAGGGCCAGACACAGGGTCACAGGACGGGCACTGATGAAGTCAGTCCTCACTTAGCGTCGTCGATCACTTCTTGGAACTATGGCAAGACGACTACAGCAAAGCCAATTTTACTACAGGCTAACGGACATAAACTAGGGCCGAGCTCCTACGCACTCATCCACGTTGTAACTAAACGAAGTCGAATGAAATGATGTTGTTTGAGGACCTGCTGTCCCAGAGACCTGGGTTGTACTTACAATGAGTGCAGACGGAACACTTCTGTTTTCGTAGCTGGGGTATTTATCAGACAGAAC